ATATTTTAAAACCCTAAATCTTTATGAATTAAAATATTGAAAAAATTAGATTGTAAAATTATTTACATAAGTATTGAACTTTTCTTGAAATTAATGTCACACTTAAGCATGCAAATCTTTCCATTAATTTTTTGAGTCACCTTTTCCTTGTAATCAAGTTTATTCATTCAGTAGACTCATTCTAACTTCAATAATAAACTCCAATTCTCTTATTTAGATACAAATAGAGATCAGGGCCGGGTCCAGCATTTTTTCGTCTTTGAGAGAGCTAACTTCAAGACATGGAGCTAATTCCAAACATTTGTTTATACTTATGTTAAATATTTGCATTATATATTTGCAAAAAATTGCAATGAATGGAGCATGAGTACTAAAAATATAAATGTTTGGAGTTTGCTTCATGTCTGAAAGTTAGCTTTCTCAAAGAATAAAAACGCAAGATCCGCCTCTGATATAGATTGAAATGGTTTTTCAGTAGTCTATATTTTATGAAAGCCAAAAAAATTCAATGTTTGCTTTTAAAATAATGTTCAACAAGGGACCATTTTTTACACAAATGTTTTGTTTTAACTAAAGATTTTAAGCAACTATATAAATAAAACTGTGGCTATTATCTGTTAAATTTTTTAACTTCATTTATAATTATGATTTGAATATTTGAAAAATATAATGATTAACTATTTTTGATTGTTCAAAATTATGAAATTTTAGCCTTAAATTGCTTAATAAACTAATTGTCGACTCTGCTTATACTGTCAATCTATTCAAGCAAGAAAAGAAAATAAGTTATATATAATTACAACCTAGTTTAATGTTACTTAAATGTATTATTCTTTTTTTGATCAAATAAATCAATATTTGGTCATAAAATATATGTTCATTTAGCCAATAATGGGTTTTAACAATTTGTGGCTATGAAAAAAGTCGTTTAAATAGGTGTATTATAGAGAGGTTTTTCTTCGCTTTCTGCAAGATACTGGTTCTTCATTAATCTCAAAGCGAATATCTTCTAAGGAATATTCTTGCGAGAACCAATTTGTTGATGTTTATAATAATTTTCTTATGGATCTTGACAATATTTTTGTGTTAATATTAAAGACTCATCTTTAAAAATTAAAAATTTTATAAACTCAACAGCAGAATTAACAGTAACTTTAATTGCTTCATAGGTTTGCCATGATATAAACATTTTACTTCTATTGCTTTAGAGTAAAATTACTTCTATTGTTTTAGAGTAAAATTATTAGTAATTAAAATGATAATTATCAACAGGAAAAAATGGGACTGAGAGTAGAAAATGGCTTTGACTCTTAAATATATTCCATACGATTACTAATATTCATAATACGAAAAAAAAAATTCATTGAACTTAAGTTAGATGTGCAAAAGCATCTGAAGATAAATAGTTAAAAAGGACTTTATAAACAGTAGTGCAAAGAACTTGAGCTGCAAATTTGACGCTCATAATAGAATAAGATGATAACATAATGTGTTCATATGAAAACCTTGGAAGTAGATGTAAACCACAAGTTAGATCGTCTTTAAAAATGTCTGTTATGTGACTCAGTTTATTTGTTCTTTTAAGAAGTTGTGGGTGTAAGATATAAAGTAAATATAACTTTAAGGACAATGTAGATTAGTAGTTTAATATTGACAGCTGCATTCCTTTTATCATTTCAATTAGATAATTTTGAATGCATTTTAAATTTTTTGATTAGGAGCAGCACCTACACAAGTTGTTACTATAACTTTTAACTTGTATTCCAGTTCACATATACCAACAGCTTTCTAAAATTATGGAAAATTCTGGGCTGTATACTCTTACATACACTTGAATATGTGAACACTTCTTATAACTTTGTGTTCTTCAAAATGTCTCTTGCATACATGTAAAGATTCACTAGCAATTTGTTTTCTTAAAGCTGAATCTCAGGTTGTGTTTCTAGACTATTCTTTCTTATGACTATGCTTAAATTTTTCTTTTAAAACTGGCATAAACATATTTACAATTACACCCTAACCATATAAACACATTAGCAATTACATACAAAACCGTACAAACATATTAACAACAATTATCAAATATAAACGCACTTAAATTTTTTTTTTTGTAAATTTATTTGCCTTCAACAAAAGAAATTAAAATTACAGAATAGCTTTATAACAAATATAATCGGCAGGACTTCCAGAAGATCATACAATCTTATCATGAAGTCCTTTACAATATCAAATATAATAATAATAACAACAATTACAAACCACTTGACGTAACGGAACACTTAACTTAATTTATGTAATATTTAACTAAATATAACTGCACTAAGTTCACTTAAATTTATATTCATTAAAGTTTACAAATAGCTGGTAAGTATTCATCCGTTATTCATTTTTTTTATTCATTAAATTTGCTGAGAATCTTATTTACTAAAACGCTTTTAAAAACTAGTTTTAATAATACCTGTCCCATACAGAATGTGAGGGGAGAAAGAAAAGGCCGCTTGCCTCACGTAAAGCCACGTAAGCCAGGGTCGACAACACCAGGTGGGAAAGGTGGGGGCAGAGGGGCCCGTGCCTCCTGTACCTTTTTTCTAAATAACCATTTTTTTTATGTAGAAAATTCTGGATATAGAAGACTTTTGTTAAGAATTGAAAATTGTACCTCCCACCGCCCTACTTTGAAACCTGTGTTGTCATCCCTGTAAGGTAATAGCAAATAAAATCTGTGTGACTGATTTGGTATTAATTTTTCTCTATATTATAACATAGCATGAAATTTAAAATATTTCATAAACCTTAATTGCACAAATAATGATTTAACGAGCTATTATTGCAATTTTCAATAACTAACTAAAAAAAAACTTAAAAAAATGATAACTCAATTAAAATATGAACTAAAATCAATTATAATATTTTCAATATTAAAATTATTTACATTAAAAAAAATTTCTAGTGATAAAAGTTTAATGATTGCAATGAGCAAAAACATTTTATAAGTTTTTAAGAATGCTGAAAGATTAGTTAAGCTCTTTTCTAAATATCTTTTTTCAAAATATATGTTAATGGAAGTATGAACAAAAAAAAAAAAAAAAAATCAGAAACTATGGAACTATGAACAAAACAGTTGGATTAACTTTTACACACTAATCATAATAATTCTTTTAGGAAATATCTCCATCAATTGAAAATCAATCAACTTTCAATTTTATTCTATAGTGGTTAGGCTATGAAAAGACTATTTTTCGTATTATCGATTAAAAATATATATACTCTATAAGACTAGAAAATATATAATCGGAATATTTTTATATTTTTATGGATAAATTCCTGGACAATTGTCAGTTCGGTCAATCTGCTAAGACATATTTCATGAAAATTTATCTTCAGGAAAATATAGATTGTACACATGTGCTAACATAAAACAAAGTGTCAAAAGACTTTTTTTAAAAGTTTAAACATTCATCTATCGAATAAGAAACAAAAAAATAATTATTGGGTATCTTAACAATATACAAAACATAAAAGAAAAAATGTTAGAAAATCGGCATGTTTCAAAATTGGAGGGTAGCCCCGGACACATAGTTTAAACATGATTTTACCTCTTTTTTACAAGTGTGACACAAATGTAATATATAATAAATTAGCATTAGACTGTTCTCGACACATTTTTTAAAAAATTGCCTTTAAAAATTGCCACCGATATATAAGGAATGAGAATGAAAATGTCATCATTTAAAAATATAAACATAGATTTTTTTATAATGGAAATAAACCTTTAAAAACACTGTTTTCAAATCTAATGTTTTTTTATTGGGATTAAATGAGTTACTATTATAGATTTATGCATTATATTAAATGTATTAATATTTATATAAAAAAAGTAGTTTATTATTATTATGTAAGTGAAATAAGTTGTCCGGAGCCACCCTCTAATCATGTGTCCGATACCACCCGATCATACCTCATTCACAAATACTAGTTTTAAAACCAGTGAATTAAAGTTTTAAACAAACTTTTTCTTTAATAACTATTGTAAATAAAAATGCATCTTTAATCATTAAAAAGTTATTAGTTTACATAATAATTAGGTATATTAATATGTGAATCAAATTTGATGATACGTGGCTCTTCTGGTGGTGAGAAACAAAATCTTGCCCTCCCAGTCATTCGCTTCGGCATATTGTGATAGATATTTTGCATAAGCCATATTTTCACTCAAATAATGTTATTATAGTATTAAAAGACAAATAGCTTCTTTAGTTTAAGCTGTACATCAAGTGTCCGGAGTTACCCGCCATCCGGCGCTACCCGACTTTCCCCTAAGGAAAATATAATTTTTTCAAACAAAAAAAAAAAGAATTGTTCAATGTTTAGATGTAATGTTATTAATGTAATATTGTTAGGGTTTTGTTTCAATTTTTTAACGATTCTAATAAATATTCTTTAGAAATGATGGGACCGAGCCATATATGTTGGAATAACTGAGTCGTTTTTATCCCGACAATAATCGAGTCAGACAAAAATGTTTAACAATCATAATTCTACTCTTAAATCAAAAATTCTGAAATTTTTTTTTATGAAAATGCAATGTAAATTTTGTAATTTTCATTGTAAGCAAATTTTAAAAATATTTAAAAACATTGCCCAAGGCAGTAAAAAAAGCAACAAAAAAAGGGATTAAAAAAATTTAAAAAGAAAACTTTTTTTTTGAAACAAATATTTTTTTCATAACTTTTAAAAAACTTAAAACTTTTATAAATAAATTTTTAATAAGTGATTTCCGAAATTCTTGCAATATTTAAAAAGTATGTTTATCGCATTTATCTATAAATGTTATACAGAGAACACTAAATATTTTCGGCGTCTATAAATTTGCGACGTCAACAAATTAGCGACTGTATTCAATTTTTTATTATTATTTGTAGTAATTTGACGGTTTTTTAAAAACAAGATTAGGCTTTTTTGATATACCGAATGTTTAAATTGATTTTTGTATAATGGGATAAATGGGGTAATAAAATAAAGTTTTGCATAGTATTATATTTTTTAGTGATTTGTTGAGAAATGTTTGGAAAAAAGTTTTTTATATGTTTTTTTATTTTTAATTTGTTTTATGAAATTTCGCAACCTCGCAAAATAAAAAATGATCTCAAGAAAGATATGGAAGGGTTGGACGAAGATCACCATGTTGAGGATTTAGAATCATCAAATGAAGAAAACCACGATATCTCTATAAACGACCTAATTAAAAATGGCCGAATAAAGTCAGTTAAGGTATAAGTATAACTTTTAAAATCAATATTAAAATGCAGCAAATGCGTCATATAGTTGTTAACTAATCTTCCCCTCAGTATTATCTTATCAATATATATATATATATATATATATATATATATATATATATATATATATATATATATATATATATATATATATATATATATATATATATATATATATAAATATATATATATATATATATATATATATATATATATATATATACATATATATATATATATATATATATATATATATATATATATATATATATATATATATATATATATATATATATATATATATATATATGTATATATATATATATATATATATATATATATATAGTATTTATATAATATATTAGATATAAAATTTTATTTATAACATTTGTAGATAGAACAAGATAATACTGAGGGGACGAAATGTCTTTTATCGTAACTTTAATAACCAAAACAACTATAAAAATGAATCGTAATGAAAGTTTGGTTGTAAAGTAAAAAAAGAGAAAAAAAAAAAAATTTGTTATTAAGGAGTTTTTTATTATTATTATTACAAAAACACAACAAGCATCAAGTATGAAAATATCGAATAAAATATGTGCTAATAAATAAAAAAATATACTCATTAATTATTAATTTTATAATGCAAACTTTTTTTCGGGGTTTGTATTAACAAAAATCGAAATAAAAGTTTTACGTCATTTTTATTAAAAATAACTTTACCATTACGTAAGAAATTTGTTTATTTAAAAGATTTACCCTGTGTATTGACTAAATATTTATCCACTTGATTTTGATTTTTTTTTTTGCTTAATTGTTTGAATAAGTATTTATAGTTTTTTTTTTGTTCTCTATTACAATATTTATTCAAATATATACAAGAAATGAAATAACAGGTAACACATTCGTTAAAAAGAGTAAAACTTTTACAATATTTAATAAAAAAAACAAACAAAGAACGCGGACACTGGAAGAAGACCATTAGGTCTTGTCACCAAGAACCGCTAAAAAAAAAAAAAAATAATTTACGTTATAGCTCATGCAAGTAAAATAAAGTCAAATTATAAATACGATCAGTAAAATTCATATTCCAACATATTTATGTAAACACATATTTACATAAAGTTTATGTAACATATTGCAATAAGCTTCCTATAAATAAATAAAAACAAAAATATACACATACACACAAAAATTGAGATTCGTCTAAGTTTTAAAAGTATACAGGAATATTTTTAGTGGAAAAAATAAGTTAAAAAGAATCAAACTTAGGATCTTTAGTAATGTCTTTTGTAGTATTTAAAACTATATTATTTCATAAAAATAGTCCGCGCAATGAAAAAAAAAACATCCTAAATTAGTTTGAAAAATTGATTGTCTAATTAACTTTTCATTCTTTAGAGTATATTTATTTATATCTCTTTGCAAATACGATTCGCGGAAAAAAACGGGAAATAAGTTGTTTTTAGATTTATACATCAAACAAAGACTATTAAAAACATTTAGCTTGTATATATTGAGAGCTTCCATACCATATAAAAGAGGCTTTGCATGAGCGCAACGGTACTTAAAATTTATAAGACGTGTAACGTGCTCCTGTTGCCTGTTCTGTTTATAGTATTTATATCAGCTTAAGAGCAGGGAGAGAAGGTAATGTGGGTCGTTATCTTAACTAGACTATAAAAATGACTATAAACATAATTTTATTGAAAATCTATTCTACTTGACATATTTTTAACTGATACATTTTTGATAAAGACAAATATATATATATATATATATATATATATATATATATATATATATATATATATATATATATATATATATATATATATATATATATATATATATATACATATATATATATATATATATATATATATATATATATATATATATATATATATATATATATATATTTCAAACATCGCATTAGCAATACATTTCCGAAATTTTTAATAAAAATCACAATAATTTTTATTCTTGACAAGTTTCGTAGTCTCACTACATTTTCAAAAGATTTAATTTACAATTAAAACTCTGGTAAATAAATTTAAAAACTGAAGACAATACAGAGAAAAAATTAACGGAAAAATAAACTTGTTACAAACCAATTAAAAATTATATTACAAGTTATGACAAAACAAACTTCCTCATATTAAAATATTAATATAATAATAATATAGTAAGTTAGATAGATAAATTTATAATATATTGAGATGTTTGTTTATTTAAAGAAGGATTTTCCCATTTAATATGAAGTGCTTCTTTTATTTTTTATTTGTTAATGGTAGAGGCAGTATCCAAAATCTGAAAGCAATCATAATTAGTTAGTGTTTTACAATTAATGGATGAATTTAAATGTTTAAAAATATGCGATAGCTATATTGATAGACAACCAAATTCTTTTTTCGGATGTTCTTATTAATAAGTGTAATTCACTCTCTACATCAGTTTATCTCAAAAAAACATACACGAGTCTTTTACAAAATTTCTTTAGTTTTGTCCCTCCATGTTACAAAACTGGTCTTATACGTTGTTTGATTAATCGAACATATAAAATTAACAAAACACGTGGTTTGGATTTGATAAGGATATAAAAAATCTTTCTTTAGTTTTAAAAAATAATCAATTTCCGCAAAAGGTTATTGACACTGAAATTAAATTATATGCAATTATTCGATGATTATGCCTGCAAACTCAACATATGCTAAAAGCGTTTACTCTTACAGACATTAGTACGTAACGCTAAACATATGGAACTAAGAAGATCTTAGACCACTAAAACATGGTACTTAAAAAAGAAGATCTTAGACCACTAAAACATGGTCATAAAAAAAGTTCGTTATTATCATTATAATTAAAAACTATACAATAATACAATAATAATAATCGTTAATCTAAAAGTTAAGCCAAAAAAGTTTTGCGCATTAGCCAAATTTCATTTGACGCGGTCTGCACACTTGTGTTTACGATGTAGGGAAAATAAATAAAAATGGTAGCTTTTCAGTTTGATGAAGTATCAACAAGTGTTCTACATTTTAATATTTATACTTTTTCTGGCTAGATTTTTAAAACTGTTTAATTGTATTGTTCTTCTGCTTTATGCTTTATAATAATTTTAAATCAAAAGATTCGAATGGTCTACTCAAATACTCATCATGTACCAAGATCAGAAAGTGTAAAAAAAACTTAAATGAATTTGTTAAAAACAAGTTTATAAAAAGAGAGATAAAAGTGTCATTTTAATTTCTACATCCCTTTAAAAATAGTTGAGTTCTGGATCTTCTGATTTAACGATTATGTCATTTTTTTAATTTTATTCTTTTAGGAATACTTAATCTTAAAAAATAGTTACATTTGATAACTGTTTTATTCAAGATAGAGACTAAATTTTTTCCTTAATGGTTTTTGTTGTAGTTGGTGTCTTATCAATGTTGTGTTTAAAAACACCAAAGTAAGAGTAAACATCCGAGTACACAACTACTTTTCTCTCTTTTATAATCATTTACACTTTTAATCATGATGAATTATTAAATATTAATATAAACGACAGTATTGTTTATTTGGTTTTTTTAATAACAAAGTTACCATCTTTACTTTTTTCACTAGTTCGAATTAATTTTCTAGTTTTTTTTTGCAAGAAAGTGACGTCACATACGCCAAAAAAATGTGGCTTTAACGATTTTTTTATTTTTATTTTGTTATTTAGGTACTCCGATTCTTATTATGTTATTTAGGGGCCCCAAACACCAAACAAATTCTGCGATAGTGCAACTAACCAGAAAGTTCACGCTTCCTTTATTACCGTGACGCAAAAATATGTTCGAACTTAGATCTCCTGCTTCCTAAGGAAGCGCTCTAACCACTGCGCCACAGCCGCACATTTACGAAAAGCCTCGTTTATCATTTTTAACGGTCTAAGAAGCAGATAACCTAATTTTAGCAACCAAGAGCTGAGCAAATTTAAAATTGAAGTTTCAAGTTTTCCATTTGTTTCATGTTTTTTCAATATTGTCAATATAACATACATACAAAAAATAAAAACAAAACAGCTTGAGCAAAAAGACTTGTAATTAATAAAAAAGTTTAGTTAAATTACAAACAATCCTGAACTAAACGTAAGATAAGGGGATTTTTTACATTTTGTAAAGAATTTAAACAAATAACATATTTGTTTATATATATATATATATATATATATGTATATATATATATATATATATATATATATATATATATATATATATATATATATATATATATATATATATATATATATATATATGTATATATATATATATATATATATACATATATATATATACATATATATATATATATATATATATATATATATATATATATATATATATATATATATATATATATATATATATATATATATATATATATATATATATATATATATATATATATATATATATATTGGTTATATAGAGATGGTTTAGCGCCAAACCCTATACAATAATGATTAAAAAAATTAATTTCAAAAAACAATTTACATAATTTTCTTTGCAAACACTAATATACTTAACTTATACCATGGAAGTTTAAAACAGATGGAAATTCATCGATTAGCAAATATCAAAGCAATTTCAAGTCTTCTCGGGAGTATGCTTGAAAAATAAAAAAAAAACAAGTTTCACTGAACAAAAAAACAATAAAATTCACTAAAATGATTTTTATTAAAACATCAAAAAATGAATAATTTTAGGAATATGCTGCAAAGCTTTAACCTTTTGCTGAATAATTGCAATTACTTAAATTAGTAATTGCAATTATTCAGCAAAAGATTCATTAAAACTCGGTAATTAAATAGAATCTCTTGATTTTAAAAGCATATATTTGTTTAGCAGCCGTGGCGCAGTGGTAGCGCACTTTTCTCAGTAACGTAAGATCCGTGGTTCAAACCCCACCTCTGGGCAAGTTTTGCGACATCGGTTGGGAAGGAGGCGTGAACTTCCT